AAAAATAAAAGCAGAAAGCTGAAAATTAAGAAAAGCGTCACTAATTTCCACTGTGACTGAAAAAAAAAATTTACATACACACATAGTCCCCACATAATTTGCATGCTGTGAGGAAGGGGGCATAGGCAGTGAGTGAGTTGAGCAGAAAAGTTGATAATGTATTCCTTACATATCTTGGTCTGCATGTTGATTAAAGTAAGAGAAAAGAAGCAAAAAGTAGTAGCATGCTTGGTAAGTAGTTTTAAATTCGTACACAGCATGACATTTGGTGCTCTGGCTGGTACTTTTGTCATCACTAGCTAAGCTTTAGAAAAAAAAGCTAAGTTTGCGTAAGATATTATTAAAAATAATAATATATGACAGTTGTGTTTTATTTTTACAAAATTAAATAATTTGAACAAAATTTTACATGAATTTTGTAAACGCTGAAAATTAAATCAATTTGTAATGTTTTCAGTTCATTTGCTTACCCAACCATGAAAGATCGTATTCCAGTCATAATATCAAGAATTGTTGATAACTTAACTCGAAATCGGGACAAAATTATCAAAGATTATCCTGGAGAGGTAATATTTTTGTTTGGTCAACTATCTTTACTTTCCCCAACTAATGTCAGGTTCCAACTAGAGTTGGCTGGACTTAGGGGCTTCGTAAAAGAAAAAGTTCAATGTCTGAGTCTTCAACTGCATTCAAACTGGATACACTTGGTTCTGAAGCCAAATACTCAGTCACCAAGCCCCATAACTCTCAAAGGAATAAATTAAAAAAATGTCTAATATTTCATGCAATTAAGTGTGAAAGATTTGTTGTTTATCAATGACAACTATTTATTTGTTATGAAATTAGGCTGCTAACATTTTTTCACTTCCACTTCCCACGTCTTCATTTTTTTATATTTAATCTATTTATTGAAACTCATTTTAACTGCTTTGAAATATTTATCCTTTATAAATAACTATTAAATGTGGAAACATGTTTGCCTACCAAGGGTTTTGTGTTAGAAACCTAGGGTATCCACAAATGCATCCAACTTTGTTATACACGTGCCATTAATTACCTAAGTAGTAACTCCTTCTTTGGCCACTTAAAACTTTATCATTAGCAACATATAGCATGAAAATTTACTTCAGCCACTATCTCAACACCTAAGTCTTTTGGGAAAATTTACTTGCATTGCTTAAATAGTTCATATTCCTTTTTTTGTAAAAGCTTACCTATTCAAGGACTATTGCTCCATTCCCAGGATTCACTCACAGAGTTGAAAGTAATTATTGGGGCTATGTCTCAGCTGCGCTATGAGGTCATGACAAATAAGCCAGCAGCGCCACTAAGGGATGGCAGATCAGATTCATTTGCCTGGAACACTGAGCTCAAGAAAGAAACTGAAAAAGCGGGAGAAGAACCAAAGTGGTTTGACAGTGCTTGGCTATGGATGGAGTGCTACATGTACCGCAGAGTCTGTGAATCTGTTTTCATGAGGTAATATTTTGAGCGTAGACAGAACACATTTAGTAATAATGCTAGTAAGTAATATTAATTATGCGAATTTGATAATAAAGAAGTTTTAATGTATGTTTTATGTGAAAAATAGCAATTATAGTAATACATGACTTTATTATTTAATTTACTTCAATGCATTTTGAAATTTCGTATTATAAGTAAAAAAAACTATAATAACATTTAGTTATGTGGCACAGTGACGTTTTCAATCAGAGTACTCTGCAGTGCTTAATGGTTGGTGCTTGTTGATGCAAGGATGGCTGTCTGGTCATGTGGTATGAGCTCTGGACTATCATCTTCATTTTCTTGGGTTTGGATTCCTGCCTGCTGCCATCCCCCGTCACCCTTTTGGAGGCTTGGGATAGAATGTGATAATCATTAAATTTGAATAAACATCTGAAACATGTAAAACAAAAAAAACATTTTTTCCCTAAGAATATATGATCAAATTTGAGTGAACTGTTAGTGAAATTATCTCAAAGACATACATTATCACACTGTACTTGTGTAGACTTTATTTGGTTCCAGTTATCTCATCCTGTTTACTTATGTACCACTGTTCATGTACTCCTCAAGTAATTGCCTTAAGGACCTGGATGTCTTTGAAGAGCAAAAGCAAGCAGCGTTTACTAATTCCTACAAGGCTATATCATCACTGACTATGTATTTAATGGAAATTTTAAGTGAGCAGGAACTGACACCTCTGGGTTCGATGACCAAAAACTACTTTTTAGATTTCTTGCAGGTAGGCGTTTTATATAATTTATTGCAAATAATATATTTTTCCAATGATAACACTGGGCACTATTAAATCTTTTCTCTAGGCATCTTCCTTTAAGTATTGGCACTTCTTGTCTCATTACAATCAAGGTTGAATCAGAACCTGAAATCTAGTTTTGGTGACTTCATAGGAACTACAAGCAACAAATATTATAATTTTGTGAAGGAATGCTATCCTATTGTATGAGAAGATTCTTATTCATCTGGCCAACTTTTTGATGATGAGCTTAAAAGGCTTTTTGCTGTACATGTATGGACAAGTAAAGAGATGGGCTTCTTTGGACTTCAGAGGTGTCAATGCCAGGTTGGAAGTGGGTATAAGCTCCTTCTTTCCATGAAATGCTTAAAAGTTCTAATACTTTTCATATATGAATGAAAATCCATCTGAACTGCTGAGTGAAGGGGTCTGGGTGTAAGATGTGAAATGAGTATGTTCAGGGTACAGTCTGCTATTTTACACTTCCAATATTTTGGGTGAGCTTTATGAAAGACAGGGTATAGACCATTGCCTAACCTCACCTTTATAAATGCATGTTCCGGTTGCAACTAGCATCTCATGCCTCTTTCACTTCTAGCAAAGGAAAAGTAGTTAAGACTAAAAACTTCTTCAAAATACAGGGATTTCTTTAAAAACTTTGGAAACACACATGCATACACAAAATGCCTGGAAAACAAAGTGGAAATAAATCTTTTTTTTATTTCAGTAATTTAAAAAAAAATCTATCAAGTGGTCATAGAGAGTTAGAAGAAAGCAACCTGGGGCTGAAATTTTCTTACATTGATTTAATAAAGTGTAAAAAAAAAAACATTTACTAATTGTTAACTGTCTTTCAAGCATGTTCTTTCTCCGTTTTTTTTTTTTTTTCTATAATTATATAAACTGTTTCATAATCTATATAAACAAACAGTAAGATGCCTCAGGGAATAAAGAATTTTTCATTAAATGGAAGCAAATCCATAAATACCAAGCTTTTTGTTATAACTGGTGTACAGAGAACAGCAGTATTGCCCAAAACCAGGAATTAAATTTGTGCACTTTTTTGTACTGCAAAATCAAATTTGTAAACAAAGAGCAGATAATTAGTTTGAAAATCTCCCACAAACAATTGAGTTAAGACTGACTTTTTTTTACAATCTATTACAGCTTTCTCTTTGGGGCAACAAATGTGACTTATCTATATCTGCTGGCAATGAAAACCATCAGGAGCACAATCCAATTGAACAACTTGCAAAACTCAAACCATTTATACTCATTGATCAAACAGAGGATGTCTTTCAAATTCTATGTAGTGCGTGGGAGAGACTTGGAGGCCAGCCTGGTAACTTGTATAAATTACTTTGCTGTTGATTTGATTTCAGATTAAATTGCATGTTTTATTAAGCGATTTAGACTTTTTTTTAAGCTGGTGTTGAATTTTAAAAAAATTGAATGCAGTTGTAATAACTGATGAAACAGTTTTTAAAATGAATTTATAAAGTCAAACCTCTCTCAGAGCAATGCATTAGTTTATGTCAGGGCTTAAGGTAAGTTTAGGAGAGTTGTATATCCACAACAAACTCTAGTTTTATCAAAAGTTAGCATGAAACTCTTTAAAATTTCCAGTAGGTTTTTTAATTGAAAAATTCATTTGTTATAGTTAACTAAAAACACAGATTATACTTATAAATACTGCTATGAGTGAGGCATCACATTTGACAATTTTGTTTGATATTGAGTGGAATATGAGCACAGTTAAGTTTTGTTGCATCACAAATTTGATTTAGTTTTGGTTAATTTATAGTTATTCATATTTTAACTGTGAATTGCTCATAATTATATGCAGTGGTATGATGTTTTTTAATTGTAGTTCTGTCTATCATTACACTTGTATTTAGGTCAAGTGGATATAGTCCTGGATAATGCTGGTTTCGAACTTGTGACTGACTTGTGCCTGGCAGAATTCCTTGTATCCACTGGCCTTGCTTCCAAGATTTGCTTCCATGTCAAAGCCATGCCTTGGTTTGTGTCAGATGTAACGGAAAGGGACTTTATGTGGACACTCAAACAGATGTCTGCTATGAACCACTTAGCCATCAGCAGATTTAGCCAGAAGTGGAAATCCTACTTGCAGGATGGAAAATGGTCTTTGAGGGTCAACGACTACTGGACAATGCCTAACGATTACAATCAGATGAAAGAGTTGTTTCCTAATTTGTACAGTGACTTAAGTTCCACTGATTTCATTTTATTTAAAGGCGACCTAAATTACAGGAAGCTGGTTGGTGACCTTCAATGGGACCCCACAACAGATTTCTCAGTTGCTTTGAGAGATTTTAAGCCTACACCACTATGTGTCTTGCGTACACTGAAGAGTGATGTGGTCGTTGGTTTGAATCCGGGTCAGGCAGAAGATGTGAAAAAAATAGATGGCAACTGGATGATTAATGGAGAGTGGGCAGTTATATCAGTTCAGAGTGTAGATAGAAGTACCTCCGAGAGTACTGCACATTGATGTAAAAAAAAAAAAAAAAGAAAAGAAAACTATTTTGTGTTCCTTAAATTAATGTACCTTGAATTTATGTCAGAATATATTTATGATGTTTGACTCTTTCTTTTTGTTTGTGCACATAGAACTTCCTTTTCACAAAATGTAAATATTTAAGGAAAAAGATATTTTTAAAGAAGTTTTTTTTTCTTTTAAAAGTTTTAATCATTAGATTTTGCTTGTGAATGCATCTTTTTTTTTTTTTATCTTTCAAGTTAATGAATGTTATTATTTTTTTTTTTTTAGTTTGCCATGAATGTGAGATAAGTAAAGTACTTTTTCAGACCTTATAGGGCAGATGATGTAAAGGTCAGTTGTTTCTATGTCTTACAGCAAGGGTGTCATGTGGCCAGTATAACGAACAACCGCCTTTATTTTCCTTAACTAATGTCAGGTACCTATTAGAGTAGGGTGGACTCCTTAAATTCAAACTGTCTTCACTGAGATTTCAACCTGAGACCTCTCAGTTTGGATTTAGAAGCCCTCAGCCACTAAGTCATAAGTTTTATTCCAAATGTCACGAGTCGAGTCTGTGACCTATTTCGACCAGTTTCTAGAAGTTCAAGTTCAAACCAGTGCAAGTGTCCAGCGTAAACAAGTTAATTTTAAATATCCTATTGAAGAAAGAGGTTAAGGGAAAAAAATAGCACACAGCTTCTAGAAGGTCAAAGTTACTAAAATAATTATCGGAGAAGGTTCCAGGATTCTGGAACGTACGATCAAAGAAAGTATAAATTAAGGGAAAGTCAGTCAGACGTGGTCCTCGCATAGTAGTAGTTCTTGTAGAGCGATGGTCCTCGCTCATTCCTCGATTAGTAATAAGTTTTGTGATATTAACGGGTTCATTAGTTAAAGTTTTATAAGTTGAAGTTATACTAAGTGAAGTTTTATGTATCATTTAAGTTTTATTTATGAAGTATCCAGTCAAGTTGTTATTGAATTGAGAAGTTAATTTAATGTGAAAGTTGAAGAAGTATTATTAAAGAAGTTTTAAGAAAATACAGAGAAACGTTTCTTCACTTCATTTGAATTTATCAACTTATTAATACAATCCTCAATCTGTTCGTCACACTAAATTTAAATATGTGGATAAAAACATAAAATGAAAAAAAAAGTTTGTGTGGTATTCAAATTGAAAGTCCTGAGTAATTCTGTAGGGTTTTTTTTAAAGCCCTAAAGTATCAATGTGACTATAGACAAGAGTGCCTGGCATTGTAAAAATGAATATACTTGATGCATTTAGTTATGTTTGATTTATGCAAACCATGTTCATTTATATTTAACTATTTCATATTGAAATTAAACAGTGCTTATTTTGTACAAATATTTCTCTACTACAAAATACATTTTTATTCCCAAAATAAATGTTTGATTTTAGCTGCTTCTAGTTAAAGTGTTTTGTTTGCTAGTCACTTTAAATCATAAATTCTGTGGCGACATGCCATTTGAAAGAATTGGTTCACAAATGATCAGTACTTCAAAGGCAGTTATGTTGCAATTGAAAGTATCCAGGAACTAGTATGTTGGTACGGAAAGTAAGGAGTAAGTGGGAAACAAAAATTAAAAGGTAGGGCATTACAAGTTGTCAGTATAGAAGCTTACTACATGCCATGATTTCGTCTCATTTAGTTATGCCACTTTGATGTCCTCAGATTTACATGGATTGAATGAAAGGTTTGAAAGCCTCTCCCCAATGAGCTCAGACTAGATGCATCACTCTATAGCCTCCTTCAGTCACAAAACGAATATGAATCAACTCATAGAAATGAGATGAATGCCTATGCATTAGCTATGATCAGAATGATGTCACCTCCACATAGTTGATCTATCCCGAGGAACGGCAAGTGCTGATACAGTTTGGGATCAGCAGTGCTGCAAGTTCTGCCAGGGTGTAGCTTTGTGTGCTGCAAACTGCATAAGGTTTGCTGGCTTCTGATTTTTCTTCAGAGTTAACTCTTGAAGCCTTTTCCATGTTTGGGTATAACTGCAAGGCAGCTGAGGTTTGAATTTCGAATTTTCCTTCTCCTAGTTGGGTAGCCAGCAATAGTTAACGAGGCTCTCCTGTCTGAAGCCTTATGGTTTATGTACCAGTTACTCACCTTTGCCTCTACTGTCAGTAACAGTTCCGCCTGGTTGTGAAGGCCAGGAATTGGACTGGTTGTCAGAGGTTATTTGAGACACATGCCATTAGAGTGCAATCTATAGGTAGTGGAGTGCTTATATCCATTACCACTTCCAGTAATGACAACCTCACAGAACTACTTTCAAGAAAAACATACAACCTACATTTTGTATTTTTTTTTGCAATATGTTATGTCATTATCGAAGCGCTCGAGCCTACCTTGTGTTTGTAAGCAGTGGTGCATTCAAATTATTATTATTGCTTGCAAGTTTTTGGTGTAAGTTATCAACCAATTAGCATTTTATTTAAAGAGCCTGTTGGACAGAATGTTACCATTTATTTAGGTCACAGTTCTTTTACTGCCAAATGATTTGTACACAGCATTGACCATGGCCATTGCTTCATCCTTCATTTAAGAAAAATTTAGTTTATCCTACAACTAATAAATATTTCTGTCAGAATGCTCTTTACAGGTCAGGTGAAACTCTATATAATTATTACCTAAAAGACCAAAATACTGGGGTATAAGACACAGAAGCCTCACAATTCTGTTCTAATGAACCTAGCAACTCATGACTTTCTACATCTACTTCTTCATTTTAGAAGCTCTAGAGAAAATGTTGATGCTAGTGGCACACACATTTAAAAAAAACATTGAGAATTAAATCAGATTCTTTATAATGTATTTATGTCTGCCCCACTACCTCATTAGTTTTGAGGTAACTTGAAAGACACTTGCTGAACAGTTGGACATGGTTGGCAACAAGAGAGTATGGTAAGATCATGGACATGTGAGTCAATAAAGTAGCTATTACTTCTCATTGTAGACCTTATTTGATGAGTGATTTACAGACTAGAATCTGTCATCAGTACAAGAAAATGTTCTATTATTAATATGATACAATATACTAGACTGATGCTGAGATTCCAGTTACAGAAAACTCAGGGAAAAGTGATAACCAAACTATTGTCTACTTATGTCAGTACAAAAGAAAAGCAATCCATTGATATATTGTTATCATTTACACTTTAATATATAAATATAAAAAAAAAAATAGAATAGAAGCTGAGCTCATGCAAATAAAAATATACAGGCACTGAATCTTTTTTTATTTGTTGTAGGACTGAGTTTGTAATCTCATTGTTACCATGAGAGTTGTAAATATTTCACAATAAAACAAAAAATGTAACAAAATGTTCTTATTAAACAGAGAAAGTTTCTTTTAAAAATAAACTTGCCATGTAGGTGTGTATAGCTTTGTTTTCCAGAAGCTCAAAAGTGAAACACTTGCCAGCAGTTCTAAGCAGAATGAACACAATAAAATAAATACATTTTAAAATAGTATCATCCACACTCCATTTGTGCGTTCAAATAATAACATGATCTGGAGAGAGAGTTGTCACTCTGACATTCAACTGACACCATTGATTGTTACTTCCTGTTCAATATGTTAAAGAGGAAATATTCCTAAATAAATGCTCAATTTTATCATGTAATATGCAATGTAAGTTTCAAGAATCAGAAGAAATTTAAAGAGACTTTTGCATAGTAGGTAAAACATTCATTTTTCAATAAACATTTGTAAAAAATGTTTTTTATATTGATTTTTGTTTTTTAAATTTTCTTTCTTGTGAGAATTGAAAATCAAAATGTCATTCCACCAGTGACGACAACTTATTTAAACAGTTTGAGTTTGTCCAAGATTGTCTCTTCTGTTAAATCCTCTAAACTTCTCAGTTCAATCACCTGTAAAAAAAAACTCTTTACTTTCAATCAAGAAATCCAAAACAATTGAGAAAAAAATGTGACCACCAACTTTGTAAAACAAAAGTAGTTTGTGGGCGGTGGTTTAAACATATTTCAAACTTTGCAAGCCAATGATAACTTGTTAAAAATGCTCACATTTCATAAATTCTAAAAAAAATTTAATTAAAAGCCAAGTATTCTTATCATGACTTTACTGATCTATATAAAACACTATAATAGAAGTTTATTCTTAATAACTTAAGGGCAGCCACATTTTTCATTTTATTGTATTAGAAAAGACTAATTAATTTCATTTATGATATATTTTCTGAAATGCCAGAATTTTGTTTACTGCCTGTTAAAAATTAGAACCTTAAGTAAAAGTAAAAACAAACAAAAAATATAAATGAATTCACTTATGTTTTAAAGTTGTACATTTTGAAATACATCATGAAATTGAATTTAATCGAATGATGCAAAATTCAACTAAACTTTTAAACTTAGGATGCATTGAATGTATGACTGCCTAGTCGTGTGGTATGCACTCCATTGTTCTCAATGGACTTTGGTTCAAAAACTGCCTGCTACATCCTTAGCTGTTTTACAAGAGGTTTGAGCTTGGACATATAGTCTTCACTTCTAAAGGAACATCAGGAAACTTAACTCGTAAAAAAAAAAAAAAAGTAGAATAATTTCAGAATACAATCTAGGTCACAACCAATAAAAACACAACTTGAATAATAATTACAGTCCAATCTTTGTTTAAATAAATAATTTTACTTCATGTAATAGTTTTAAAACAAACTTCTAAGCTAACAAAGCATCCAGGTAAGAACACTTCATTACAAACATCCAGGTAAGAACACTTCATTACAAACAATGGTAATCTGAAAAGGTTTATTGCATTCAATGTTCATGAAATAGTACAAGTAATTGAAGTGAAAACCATGACATTGTTTAAAAAGTTGAACCAAATCTCCTTAAAGTGATGCCTCCAGAAAACTAAATCAGGGAAAATGTTTTAAAAGTCAACATTAATGTCAGTTTTCAATGTAAGTTTCAATGACATTATGCATGTAATAAAAAGACGGATGAAAAAAAGGTGAGACTAATTTGAATGATGAATTTGAAAGTCAGATGGAAACATCGTCACTAAGATGGAGACCAAAAGGAAACAGAGAAGTTTAGATAAAAAAAAAGATTCTCTTATGGAACATGCAGAAAGGAAAAATAAACAACAACAAACTTTTTGTCCTCCAAGTCTAAATGTATTTGAAGCACTGGAACTGGAAGGAAGGGAAGTATAGACTAAATGAAATGCTGTTAATCTACTACGGTAAGATTGAATACAATAAAAATGATAATGAATGAAAAATCAATAAATTTACATAAATTAAATATAATAAACAGCAACAACAAATAAAACAACAACACCGAGTCCTATGCCTTTCAAGCATGCTTTTTATTTTAATCAATCTTAATATACATTCTTTAAAATATATGACAAAACAAAAGTGACGAAACAATTATATTCAATAAAGCTCATCACAAATGACTAAATGCAAACTATTACAAACATGACTGCAGAATAGCTGTAAAAGTAAAAAGTATTTTACAAAATTATTTCTTAAATATAAAGATTTTTTTTTGAATTTTTTTTTTTATGTTTAATAAAAAAAATAAATTTTTTTTAATTTGCTTTTTTAAAAAATCAAGAATTTACTATTGTAGTAATTTATTATTGCCACAAAATAAAAGCCACAGAATGTTCATTAACATAAACATGCTTCACAAAGGTATTGAAGCTTCAACATTTTAATATGTCTCACAACAATTACTGATATATGATAAACTATCAATGTTCTGCGCAAAAAAAAAAAGTCATTTATGATAATCTATGACACGACGAAGACTATATGGAGTCATTAGTATATTAATAAAAATACATTACTATTCAAAATGCCAGAAGAGGCGTAAATGTTGCTTAACATACATTTAGCTCTCTAAGAGATCTTCCTTCCTTGTACCTTGGTTTCTTGAAATCACTCAGTAGTGTTATTAACTTTATTTTTATGAATGATGTATCACCAGCTATAGCTGCAAGAGTCTTCTTCCCC